GGTCCACTTGGTGTGGGTATGATATGGATGTCTACTTGATGTGGATATGATATGGAGGTCCACTTGGTGTGGGTACGATATGGAGGTCTACTTGGTGTGGGTATGATATGGATGTCTACTTGGTGTGGGTATGATATGGAGGTCTACTTGGTGTGGGTATGATATGGAGGTCCTCTTGGTGTGGGTATGATATGGATGTCTACTTGGTGTGGGTATGATATGGAGGTCTACCTTATGTGGGTATGCTATGGAGGTGTGCTTGATACGGGCACGATATGGATGTCTACTTGGTGTGGGTATGATATGGAGGTCTACCTTATGTGGGTATGATATGGAGGTGTGCTTGATACAGGTATGATATAGAGGTTTACCTTGTGTGGGTAAGAAATGGAGGTGTGCTTGCTACGGGTATGATATGGAGGTCTACCCTGTGTGGGTATGATATGGAGGTGTGCTTGATACGGGTATGATGTGGAGGTTTACCTTGTGTGGGTATGACGGTGGGGTATATCTGTGGAGGGGCGTGGGGTGAGGGTCTACTTGGTATAGGTGGGTGATAGGGTCAACTCGGTGGGGTCATCTTGATGAGCGTGTGGGGGTCAACATGATGAAGGTATGGGGAAATACATCCTTGGGGTGAATATTCTGTTTCTGAGTTATCAATAACTGCAACCTCAACCATAATTACAACGTTTCTAAAAATGAAAGTCTCGAAGAGTAGATAATACATAAGATCAGCAAGATATGTTGAAGCATTTAAACCGCTTCCAGAAAACTGTGACATGATTGAGGGAAACAAATGGAACTGTTCCTTGGGGTATACTTTGAAAATTCATTACCGGATCGTATTTTGGCACAAATGTTAAAAGAAAGCGATATTAACGCGTCATGACACTAAAAACGTAAATGGCACTTACTTATCTGCGTGTATATTTCAGTCCCATGTGGACGTGTTCGCACGCCTCTGCTGTCACGTCAAGTAAACACGGATCCCCGGGCCCCGTTTCACACAGCGATTATACACCTATACTTTAACATACACTTATGACAGTTGTAACGGAGCCCTGTTGCTACGTGCCAAGTTGAATGTTTGCATGACATCTTATGTAAGTGAATCAGACGCTTTCCCAGTACCGCTGTACCCTGTGCTTGTTGAATTGTGTTTGCTATTGTTGCGATGGTAACTGCTCCGAGACCAAAGTACTGAAACCGTCTCAGCTTGTATGCGTCCACCACCAGTTAGCCTGACTTTGAAGGCTGGATTAATATAATTTAAAGGTGCAAGATCATATGTTCTGTTGGAATTGTTTCTATGACCTATGCTGCTGTGGATATCACGATAAATAAATGTATAGTTATATAATACTCATTACGTGACAAGGAAATTTTAAGTCTGCTAAGAACGTCGAACCAGCTTCATTCCTGGATCATATCACATTAATAAAAACCTCTGAGCATTGCATTGTGAAGTTTCGTTCACAACAGAAAACGTAGCGACGTGTCATTCTTGGCATAACACCTCTTTCACATCTACTGGTTCTTGGTTCTCAGTGCGCAACGACAGTTTTGAATTCTTTTGGTAATTGTGAATAATACCAACAATTTCGCTTAATATATTTTAGTTGATACTTGTGTTGGGGATGCTATTTCGTAAACGATGTTTCCGCAGTGTCAGGTAGATGGTTGTTTGTAGTTTTGTGCTTATTTTTCCCAAGCAGGAAGACAAAATCGTTACAAAAACGTGTTCCTAGACCTTTAACCATTCCTGTCTTCAGCCTGAAGGCGTAATGACTCTTAATTTGGACATAATTCTTTCTAAACGGAATGATTTATTTCACATGGGTTAAATGCCAAGTGCGTGACGAGCTGTTTTTAACTGTTTAACCAAATGTCCTCTGAAAGTCTCCTTTTTTATCCAAATCTTTCTAAACAACGGAAATGAAGTGAAGTCACGGACAGAATACTCTTGCAGTGATTATTATAGTTTGTTTGTTGTTTAACGCTGCTCTCAGAAATATTCCAGCTCTACGGCGGCGTCTCTAAGTAATGTTTGGACCAGACAATCCAGTGATTAGCATCATGAGCATATCCGCAACTGGGATACGATGACATGCATTAAACAAGTCAGCCAGGTTGACCACCCGACGCCGTTAGTTAGTTGCCTCTCACGACAAACATAGTCGCCTAGCGACAAGCATGGTTGCTGAAGACAAATTCTACCCAAACTTCACGGATAGATTATTATATTTCACTCTCATGTATTGACATGTGACATGTGTCTGAAATGTTACAAATATAGTCATTATTTCAATATGTTCTACGTATCACACACGACCTCAATACCTGATGTGACGTCCAGTCATATAGCTGGAATATGCTGAGTGCGGCGTTAAACAACAAACTAACAAACGAGGAAATTAACGTCCTGAGCAAAGAATAGCAAAGAGCATTTATGTTATAACTCAGACGAAAGGACACAGTCAACAAAAGTACAAACAAAGATAACCTTTCCTATAAAATGATTGGGCCTTATTTTTGCAAAAAACTAACTAAATCATAGATATGCACGAGCAAGTCAAAAAGTCGAAGCCTGAAGAAAAGTGGAGGAAAGAGTTTTAACATGCTCCGTGCAATGGAGTCGAAACTTGTCCAGGGACATAAACCCAGTCTCGGTAACTACATTAATGGACCGCAAGGGGATTCCGGATTAGAATAGGTCTCCAGCAACCTATGCTGGTCGTTAGAGGCGACGTGATGGAACGGGTGGTCAGGGTCGGTGACTTGGTAGACTGCATGTCATCGTACCCGGACGGCGTGGGTCGCTCGCTGCCCACACTGGGTTGTCTGGCCAGGATTATTTTCAGACTGATGTCATATAGCTGGAATACTCCTGAGTGCTGCGTTCAAGAACACAGATGCACACAGACACACAGACACACAGTCACACACACACACACACACACACACACACACACACACACACACACACACACACACACACACACACACACACACACACTCACGCAGACACGTTTGTTTGTTTGTGTGTTGTTTAACGCCGCACTCAGCAAAATTCAAGCTATATGACGGCGGTCTGTAAATAATCGAGTCATGAAACACAATCCATGAGCATCGATCCACGCAACTAGGATACGATGACATGCATCAACAAAGTCAGCGAGCCCGACCACTCGATCCCTTTAGTCGCCTCTTACAACAAGCATAGTCGCCTTTTACGGCAAGAATGGGTTGCTGAAGACCTATTCTACCCCGGAACCCACTGGCTGCAGTCTCCAACGCAATTATTTGGACCTGGATAACATTTCATAGTGTACTCACTTCAAAATTAAACGATATTTCACCTATCATTTCCACAGAAGCCCACATAAAACCTACATAAAATCTTCTCTATGATCTAAATTCGAAGCATGGCGACTGGCGACTGTTTAATCCCTTACGGGCATCCGAACATACTCTCACGCCTAATCTCCTGGCGTCCATGTTACATATTCAAGTAGCCACGGTGTCTGTCCCACTTGTCTCTATTGTATAATCACCAACAATTCCACTGACAACCCATATTCCCAACAACAAGACAAATGTGTCGTAAGTGATCTGGGTAGCATTACATAGAGTAAGATCGGTTTACTCACCACATCATGAATATTCATGTCTGTGGTACAGTGACCTAGTCCTGGTAGGTGCCTACTTCATCACTGTAAGGAGTGTTGTAAAGTGCCCTGTGGTAGAGTACCAAATGGCCCATCTCTACTTCCGCTCGTGTCCGTGTTCCTCAACATAAAACAAAAAACCTATGCACTTGAAAAAACAACTATCTGATCTATTTGTATGTTTACAGGACATTAACTCTATACTGTAAATATTGGAAACATAACGAATATAAAATTGACCCACTTTTAACTGTACGCTGTAGCGTAAAACATGGCGTCTATGGTTAGACTACCTACCCTATAATGGATGCGGGCGAAGTTGAGCTTGTTTAGCACTTGTTTTGTTTTTGTTTGTTGTTCAACGCCGTACGCAGCAATATTCCATCTATATGACGGCGGTCTGTGAATAATCGAGTCTGGACCAGACAATCCAGTGATTGACACCAGGGACATCGATCCACGCAATTGGGATACTATTACACGCATTAACCAAGTCAGCGAGTCTGACTACCCGATCCCGTCAGTCGCCTCTCACGAGAGTCACGATGTACGATGTCATTATACTTTCTCGGGTGTAGATTTTGTGGAATACACAGCTACAGAATCGACAATGAGACTGTACTGAACGCTAAAATAAAAAACCCGAGAAGAAATCGCTAAAAGAGAAGACGTTTAACGTGAAATGTTTCTGAATCCATTCACGTGCAAAATGAGGTTGTCCTTTCTCGTATTCAACGACAGTCATGGGTAAACTTTACAATGACAGGATATCGGATATGAGACAGGCAAACAACACCAATACTGACACAAACTTCACGCGACACTTTCATCGGATGTCTGGCGGCAGGGCTAACAAGCAGGATGTAGCTCGGACCATGCATGTGTCCAGGGCAACATCAACAGGTCATGGCACCGGAAGTGTCTCGGATAGGCCCAGGGCAGTCAAACCAAGAGTCACCACATTAGACGTCAGCACCTTCGTAATCGCTTCACAACAGCTACCACTACCGCCAACCGCATTCCTGTCATGCTATCTCTGATCAGACCGTTGGTAACTGCCCGAAGGAAGATGGGATTCGTGCACGTCGACCTGCTACTCGAAACATCCTGACAGCACGCTATTGCGTGGAAGGTCGGAACAATTGTGTGATCGTTGTATCAGGTCATTATTGAGGAGAAGGAGAGACCTGTTTAGAGAGAGTTACGGTAACTGCTGCGAAGTACAGACGATAGAGTGAAAAAAGAAACTATATCCGTAAGAAAATGTATTTTAAGAGAAAACCCCATCGAATATTTCCTATCAGTGACAGTGTGTCATCTCTATTACAGCTAAACCAGAGACAGAAGGTACAATGTGACCAACGATCCATATTGGAGGAGAAGGATGTGCCTAACAACAACAACGCTTCCTAGAGCGTAGCAGGGAAACTAGTCTGTCTTACAGACCCTGATACAAGGAAATCAAATACAGCCCATGCAAGTCTACAATGTTTGGCAATTCTAAATGTCTGCAGTATCTAAAAATGAAGAGAGTCTCTGGTTTTTTTCTGTACGATGTTCATTTCAGAGAACAGATGTTAGTCTAAAGGCAAACCAGTGATCCAACTTATATGAATGGATCACTTAAAATGAGAGGTGTCACCTGTGTTTGCGAAAATGGGTAGCATATCCGGCTCCATCGGTAGTATCTACCACCAACGTCATAAAAATAAGAGTGTTTGTTTGTAGCTTTGTTTGTAGTCTGACGGTCGACTGTAAACAATAGAGTCTGGACCAGAAAATTCAGTGATCAGTTACTGTATGATGAGCAAGAACCCATGTCGTCGAAGTATAACGCCACGCTGTCAACCAAGACACTCAGAAAGATCACCCGATCCGTTAACGTAAGAAGTTATGGAAACTCCCTGTAAAGGTCATGGTTTGGGATAACTTCGCACATATTGTTGACAAGCAACGTATAATGTCTAGTAAATTCCTGGGTCTACCATACACGGTCTGGCATGACGTGACAATGATGAGGAGACCGCGTCTGTACACTATGCAATTCATCTGCTGATGCAGACGAGCTTCAATGATTAATTCAGGTGTGAAGCTCTTCTCCAACAACGACTTCTTTATACCCCAAAGAATTGTTACATCTGGATAGATATGTTTAAATTACGAAAAACCTTCATCACCTAAAATATATCGACTTTGAAACATCTATCCAGATTCACTGTATATTTGAATAGTGACCTTTTTATATTATTTCGTTAAAGTGTCTAAATCATATCATATACATGTATATAACATATTATATAACATATGATATGTATTCAATTAAGATCAAGTGATAATAAGAGATTTATACACTTTAACGGAATAATGTAAACAAGTCGCTTTTCAAATGTACAATGAATCACACACGCACGCACGCACACGCACGCGCACGCCGCGCACTTCACATAAAAGGCATTAAAAAGATCAAGGTGGTAACATGCTTTAATAAGTGATTTGGACACTTTATATGTTACAGGGAATATGTCCAATACAGGGACTATGTATAATCCCTGAATTGACACTTAATGTGGTTTTCTCATTTGTTTCTTTGATTTCCAAGTGTGGTGGGTAGATGATATGATGTTACTTATTTATTTTGGCATTGTTAAAATTGTCAGTCAGGAAATCCAGCAACTCACATCTCTGGGTATCTGGTTATTTCTGAGTAGAGTTACTTTCTGTTTTAATTAATTGCCAACATCCTTCAAAATTTGTGATAAAATTACATTCCCGAACTTCACCTTGGAAACAAAAGCCCTGTTGATTCGAGAATGTAATTCTTCTTTCAATTTATCATGAGGGACAGTTGTGTAATGGATGGAAAAGTAAAAAATGCTTCAGCTTGAAAATCCTTTGCAAGATCCACATGTGATTAACTCCTCTTATCTCATATATTCACTGATTTGTCCTTGCTTGATTATTGTCAGAATTATTCTTAGTAGTTTTGACATGGATTTGGTGGTACATTGGCTGGACGCTGCAATTGGTCTCTCTTTATATGGATCATTACGAAGCATAGAAATTCAGTATAAAACAAGAATACGTCTATGTTCATACGTTATAGAAATTCCACGAGTACGTATACATATACTGAACAACAAAAGTTCCTGTGACATTGAATACGATTTCATGCAAAGTTATTTTTTTTACCAAATCTGAAACAATTTCGGTTTGCAACAGATAAAAGACTTCTGTAGTGTTTAAATGGTTTAATTTGCCATACTGATATCAGAAAATGCCGAAAAAAACATGAACATGCCAAAATGTCAATTTACAAATCAATAGCGTGTGTGTCCATCTCTGGTTGCGATGCAAGCTACACATCTTCGTCTCATGGAATGGACCAGGCGTCGCACAAAGTCCTGTGGGATATCTGTCCGTATCTGCTGGAGCATGTTTCGAAGTTCCTGGAGTGTCTGTGGAACACGTGGTTGACGTCGAAGGCGACGATCAATCTTATCCCACATGTACTCGATTGGTGAGAGATCAGGGGAGCGAGCCGGCCAGGGGATGATATTCACGTTGTATTGTTGAAGAGAATCCTGAAAAGTCGAGCAATATGAGGCCGGGCGTTGTCATGTTGAAAGGTAATGCCTGGACCATGACGACGCAAAAACGGTAGAACAACAGGGCCGATGATCTCGTCGCGGTAGGGCTGTCCATTGAGATTTCCCTCTACCATTATCAAACGGGTCCTCTGTCTTGCTGTAATCCCACCCAATACAATAACGCTGCCGCCCCCGAACCGATCTTCTTCCATGACACAATGATTGACGTAACGTTCACCTCGACGTCGGTACACTTGAATCCGTCCATCGCTGTGGCTGAGGTGAAAACGAGACTCGTCAGTGAATAGAACTTGTCCCCACTGCATGGTCGTCCAGCGTAGACGCTGTCTGCACCACTGTAGACGTGCTTGACGGTGGTTTCCTGTCAAAATGGGACGTCTGGCGGGTCTTCTGGCAATCCCTGCACATCTGTGGCGACGACGTACGGTTTGTGAAGATATTCGTCGAAGGCCAGGGATGCTTCTCGCAGTCACTGTTGCTGGCTGGAATCGATTTCGTAGGTGTGTTGTTCGAATCCAGTTTTCTTGTCGATTATTGGTTACGCATGGCCTGCCACTCCGAGGATGGTCTCTGACTGCATTCATCTTTTGCTTACGTTGTCATAAACACCAAATGGTGTTTCTGTGGACGTTAAATTGTCTTGAAACATCACGTTGACTCGATCCTGCTTCAAGCATACCAATGGCTCGCAGACGCTCATTTTCAGACAGGCATGGCATTCCGTAATGTTGAACAATTGCGTAATTTTGTCGTTTTTATGAGTGGTTGTTGTCAGCACGATGCTAAACAATGCATATGGAATCCCGTTAACGCACATGTTTTTATACCCATTCTTGGGGAGTGAAATGCATGGGGCTTGCATAAAAGTCAACTTTTGCATGGAATGCATGCTTTTCTGTAGCAGTTGCGTTGACTTGATTCCATACATGTACTACAATATTGAAAACCAAACTTTACTTGTTTGAAAAATACATAGAGGTTATCACGCGAGTGTGTTTGGGGATGGTTAATATCCTGCATTAGGAATAAACATGATTGTATTTAGCAAGCCTTGGCGAGCTAAATACATAGTGTTTATTCCTAATACAGGATATTTACCATCCCCAAACACACAAGCGTGATAACCTCTTTATCATATAATGTCATTCTTTAATTCTGTGCTTCGAAATCGCTTTCCCTCTCTCACAAACATTACCGAAACATTGCGACATTTCCTGGAATGCGCGCATTAATATTTATTACGTCATAGGGTAAGTGACGTGTCAGTCGGACAGTGACAGTAGCCAATATAGTTCCAACTGAAATCTGTTTCTTATGCAGTGGCGAAGCAACATATACGCAAAACAGCAATTGTTTTTAATTGCCTTTCAATCCATCGGTCTGTCCGCTAGAGTAACTGCCCTTTGTCAAAGGGAAGCTACTCTTACCCTAGTCTATGAGACGTCACGCCCACGGTCAGACGTTGTTGACAGTCGGTCTGTCCTGTCATAACGTTAAGAAGTGTAGTCAGATGTACACACAGCGACAAAACGAAACACGGTAACAATTCAAACATATTTCGGCCAAATCCAACTATTTTCGTTTGTGGAGAAGGTTTCAAGCCGCAGAGGTCTACAAGCACAGATATGGCTACTGATCCCGCTTTGGCTAGGCCTCGTGCCCTCGCAAAATTGTTTCGAAATTTATATCTCCAAAGTTGCCAAAACTTATAAAATGCCTTATCTACGTCACAGTTAGACACTGATTTTCAGTATATTAGACTGTTCTTTTGATAATGATAGCAATTATTCGTGTAGTTTATCCAGATTCCCGATGGTTAATTCTGACTCGATCGCCGAATGACGAGGGCGACGCCATGTTTGTTTATAAACAGTGAAAGTAGTTCCTACTTGACCTTTGATATTTGCATCTCTATCCGCATATGACCCCAACGGATATCGTTTTTATCCGTTGGCTTTATCCTGCCGAGAAACCTACCCATTATATGATAACTAAAATATTGGTGACACGGAACTTTTGTTGTTGAGTACAAATGGCTTTTTATGTTGGATTAATAGCTATCCCACCAATGCCGAGATCCTTTGTAGACAGTTCACATTATGTTGTTTACTAATGAAAGTGAAGTTTGTAATTCAGCAAGACTTGTAAGAACTGAATTTTGTGACAACAGTAGTCTTTTGTACTTAGGTGTTTTGTGTTTAGGATTCCTTCCAGCAACCATGGATTCGATCCACCCAGAAAAACATTAAACTTGTTCATTCTCTCGGTTTGACCACGTTTCAGCATATTAAACTTCAATGGCAGCTATGTCTCAGGTGAAATTATAGTCCAAACTGATTTTGCATTCTGGGAACACTCTCAAATAACTGTGGAGGGGACATTGATCAGTTATGGAAAGTTCATCAGTGATGATATGTCCTGCAGGCGCATAGCACAAGCGGCATTTTTGCCGGTCACACTTTTGCTGTACAGTTTGCAGGACGTCTCTGAAGTTAATAATTTGGATGTTATGGTGTTGGTATAGGGGTATGGTAAAATTTGTGCATTGAGATTTTCAAGACTTGGGGGGATTTACTTTAAACACAATACGTCTGAAGGTGCGTGATGAAACTTTTCAAATGAAAAGAGTGATAATCAAAAGAAATCAGAAAATGCGCTATCGTGTCACTGGATGTTCTGGTCCATCGATCACATGATTGTCTGGAGTGTTTACAGGCTGCAGCCGCATGGCAGGGGTCCTGCTGTGCGGCGTCAGGCAATATATACTTACTTTTCTATGCAAATTGTGTGAGTGAGTGAGTTGTG